AATTTAATAATAAAGTGGTTCAGATATGTGAGGAAACCATCCCTAAAAAGAAGAAGGGACGGAAGAAGGTCCCGTGGTGGACCAGTGAATTGGGAGAGTGGCGGAAAACAAATAACCGGCTGAGACGCCGATATCAAAGAAACAGGAGGGAAGAAATACGACAGAAAAGTAAGAGTGAATATTTGGAACATAGTAGGAAGTATAAGGCAAAGATTAAAGAAGCGAAGATCAAATCCTGGCAAGATTTCTGTACCCAAAGCTCGAATAAGCCTTGGGGCTACATTTATAAAGCTTGTATCAATAAAATTAGACAGCCACAATACTTAACAACGATAAAGGATGGAACCACTTATACAGAGGGAATTGAGGGCACAATTATGACACTAATGAATGGGTTTTTCCCTGAGGATAACCCAGACGAGGATACAGAGGAACAGAGGAGGATGCGAGAAGAAGTACAGAGTCAGTATCTAGGACAGCTAGACCCAGAGTTTACAAGAGAAGAGGTGAATAACGCTATCCACCGGATTAAGCCGGGGAAAGCACCAGGCAAAGATAAAATAGTGGCCGAAATACTATACAAAATCTGGGAAACTGGCCCTGGGTTTATCCAGGACTTATATAACTTGTGTTTAAAGTTCGGAACCTTCCCAAAGGTATGGAAAATCGCAAAACTTGTGATTATACCTAAGGGCGATAAGGTAGATAAGAGCTTAAGGAAAAGTTACCGCCCAATAAGCCTGCTGCCAACAATGGGCAAAGTTTTGGACTTTATGGTTAGTCAACGAATATTGCAATATCTGGAACAGAGAGAGTTTATGAGCCCAAAACAGTTTGGGTTTTTACCGGATAAAAGTACAGACGATGTAATTTACAAGGTTGTTGAGACCATAACAACTAAGCTAAATAATAAGAAGTATTGTTGCGCAATAAGTTTAGATATACAAGGGGCATTCGACCATACATGGTGGCCCCTTGTTTTGAGTACGCTAAGAAGAGCGGGATGTCCGAGTAATATCTATGAAATTGTGAAGGACTATTTTAAGGATAGGAAAGTGGAATATCAAGCAGGTGAATCATGCATTGAATACAATTTAAGTCGAGGGTGTCCGCAAGGATCTAATTCCGGACCCCTCTTCTGGAACATTGCATATGACAGCTACCTAAAAACTGACAAGGGTAACGATATAGCCGAGTTCGCATACGCGGACGATACAATAGTCCTTTTTGGAGCGAATTCGAGAAGGGACATTGAGAACCAAGGAAACATACTATTGAACCTGATCTCAAGTAGGGGAAGGGAGCTTAAACTCCACTATAACCCCAGAAAGACAGTAGCGATTGTTTTCTCAAAGGGATCTATCCCGGATCTTTATAAGCGCACGCCTACCCTAAAGATGGAAGGCGAAAGCATCAAGGTGGAAAAGCAGATGAAGTATCTGGGGGTGATACTAGATCACCGTCTGACATGGCTACCACATGTTAAAGCTATGAGGAATGTAACAACAAACTTATTTAATGCATTGGCAAGGGTTGCTAAGGCTCATTGGGGCCTAAGCACAAATGCTTTAGCCACAATATATGAAGGGGCATTTATCCCCAAGATAACGTATGCTGCTGGGGTGTGGTATGCGGCAGCACAGAAGGTTGTAATTAAGAAACAAGTACGGAGTGCGCAAAGGATGGCTCTGTTGAGGTTGACAAGAAGCTTTAGAACGGTGTCAACAGATGCGTTACTAGTAATTGCTGGAACGCCACCCATAGACCTGGTGTTAAAGGAGAAGGCAAATTGTTATAGGTGGAGAAGAGGATTACCTCTGATACTAGATGACCAGATGGAAAGTATGGAATACGAGACAAAACCAAAGGCTACAATGCTACCCAAGTTATATCATAGAATGGCCATAATGACAGCAGCAGAAGGGGAAAGTAGTGAAATAAACATTTATACGGACGGGTCGAAGGTTGAAGACCGAGTAGGAGCTTCCTTCTTGGTCGAAAAAGAGGATAAAATTATACATTACGAGCAGTTCCGGTTGGATAACCGCTGCTCGGTTTACCAGGCGGAATTATTGGCTTTGTTACAAGCAGTAAAATGGTGTGCCAGTAGTCAAAACTTAAGCTCTATAATAATAAATACAGATAGCAGGGCGGCCCTGCAAACATTGCAACAATTTACAGATACAAACCAAATGGCTCTAGAGATGAAGACCCTAATAAGGGTAAATCATTTACAGATTAAGTTCAGATGGGTTAAGGCCCATAGTGGCATTAGAGGAAATGAAAGAGCAGACGAGTTAGCTAAGGAAGCTACACAGCTAGAAGAGATTACGTACAGTAAAATCCCAATATCATATGTAAAAAGGAGATTAAGACAAAGTACAGTAGAAATATGGCAAGAAGAATGGAGTAATGGGAGGAATGGTAGACATACTTTTTGGTTGCTTCCCAGTGTTGAAGAACGGACTAGAGAACTTAGATGGCTAACACCAAACTTCTATTTAACTCAGCTTCTGACGAATCACTGCAATACGAAAGATTATCTCAAAAGAATCAATAAAGTGCAGGATACCTTATGTGTGTGCGGAAACGGGATGCATAGTCTGGAGCATCTTCTGGAAGAGTGCAGTAAGTACGAACAGGAACGTCTGCAATTTCAGCTGCAAGCGAAAGACGTCATTCATACAAGTGAGATAGACCTTTATATGTGCCTCAGACACAGGGACTTAGTGCGGGAATTGCAGAACTTCACGCGGAGAATATTGTCGTGAAAGGGATACGAGTTGTATCCTGGTATTGTAATCAAGTGTACTAGGTTTAAGGCAAGAGCCTTTTGTATATATTTGTTATTTTATTTTATTTATTGTTATAATTGTACAAGATATACAAGATAAATTGAATAAAGAAAAGTCTCCCTTGTTATACGGATAGTGGGACAAGGGTGATGCTGATCCCCATTGGGGAAATGATGATTACCAAAATGAAAAAAAAAAAAAAAAAAAAAACATTGATTGCATTTAGATTGCTAAATATTTTTCTAGACAGTGTTGAATAGAAGTACTTTAATTATGATCTCCCATTATTTTATTTAGCTATCAATTTTTAGCATTTTACAAGAATATCAACATTTTTTTAAGTATCAATATTTTTTAAATATGAATCTTAACAATCTAAATTTTTTATTTTGTAAATCATATTTTGCTTTTACATAATAATAATGTTTATAAATACTAATGTTTTTATCATCATCTGTTAAATATATTTTAAATAACAAGTAGGTTAAAACATCATTACTTGTAGATTATATCTTGTGTAATTACAAAATGTACTGTACTTATCATATATAATCTAAAATGTTAATTTAAAAGTGAATCAGTTCATTCATTTTTAAATAAAAACTAAAAATTTATCTAACCTCTAAAAATTTGTCTAATCCCCATATTCACCAATGCGAGTTAAACAGAGAGTTGACAAACTCCAGTTTAGATGTAACTTTAAGTCAGATTACAAGTTACTCTTCTTTTGTATTCAGATAAAAATATAATTCTAGAGTTTCACTACTCTAGACTTAATGTTTTAAAACAATCCTGCGTTCAAGATTAAACAAGTCTTCTTTCGTAAGCAGAGTCTTTGCAGTAATTTTGAGAAGGAAATTCTACTCGAATTAGTCAAAGTATAAATCTATAATTGAAAACATAATTTTTTGATGATGTAGAAACTAAATTGTGACCAGTTTGTTCTAGTATTTTCTTACGCTCTCTTTTGGCAAATGATAACAACATAGAAAGTCGTAATCGTCCAATTGTTCAAGGTCATTTTTTCTTGGAGAAATAATCCGCCAACTTCTTCATTCCATATAATCTAGATATTTCAGATTTTCTAGCATCTCTACTTTGTCCTCGTCCTCGTCGAATGTTGCCATTTTTCCCTGAAATAGATCACTTTGCGCAGGTGTCAAACCCAGAGTTATCATCTACTCACTGATTTTCTAGCGTTAGGGTTAGGGTTATTGTGTTTGACTCGAGATTCGAAGTTGGTGAATACCAATTTACCAATAAGTAGAGAGTTAACTCTAACTCATTTTGGTGAATATGGGGGTAAATGTTTCATGTAATAAGCACACATAATAATAACACTTAATTCTTATTAAAAAGATCATTTATTTTTTTAATAAAAATTAAGTGTACTTATAAAATATATATTTAATAAAAATAATACTGTAATGATACAGTAGTCATAGTATTTGAGCTTCACTATTCTTGTGTTCAAAGAATTTTATCAGAAAGATTATTTATAGTTAAAAAAAATTTTGCAAATTAAAAATGACTAGATATAAATATTTTATGCTTTCTTAAATAAATTTTAATTAAAGTATTACCTTCAATGAGAAAAACCAGACCAAATTTATTGTTTAAACATTTCAAAAGTATTACTGTTGCTATTGAGAATGAAAATATTATGTAATGATGGTTTTTAGAATTTTAAGGCATTGTGACGTAGAAACAATGAAAGTTAATAGATTAATCACTTTTACGTATTTTAAGAAAAAATAAATAAAATCCAACAAATAGCAACATATAATTTAACAAATTTATAAATTAAACCAAAGAATTTTAATGTATAATTAATTATTAAAGGTGATAAAACAGTTATAAAAATATACAAATTGATAACTGTATTTTATGTCTTAAATTCAACTAATATTATCTGCAATTGTTAGATTTGAGCTGATTCCCTAATAAACTCATTTTAAATTCAAAATTATGCATATGTAGAACTGCTTAATTACATTGCCTAATTTCTTTAATAAACATAAGATTGATTGCCTTAATTAAGCATTCTTGTATGTAATTTTAATATTGAGGACAAGTTTCATTTATTTTGAGGGCCTTAAGTTCAATTTACTCAAGTCTTCTAAATCCAAAATTTTAAGTTATTTATATACAATCACATAGTATTTTGAAATCTTAAAATATTTTACAAATTAAACTTTATTTTAGAAATTGAAAGTGAAAATGAAAGTGATATGAAGGAAGAATTTGAAAGTGACAAAGAATCATCATCTGATGAATCATTTGTGAGTATTATTAAATTTATCTTTAATAAATTATTGCTATTCAAATTAATTCTGAGTACAATTTCATTTTAACTTTTGTTGTTATTTATGTTAAAATACTCAATTTTAAATATATACAGGAATGAAAATTTTAACTTCTCAATAACTGGAACAAATTATTAAGTACAATCAGCAGAACCTTTAACCTTTAGTAATGAAATTTTAATGTAAAAATTGACAAATATGTTCAATCTTAAACAAGATCTGCATCAGGTAAATAATAATAATCCAAATTGAAACACTGAGAACATAAGTTTTCAAAACTTTTTAAAATAATTAGAACAAATATGTAATGATTTAAAACAAAACTTATAACTATACATAATCTGTGGTCTTTTTAAGAATTATAAAATTAAAAAGATATAAATATAAGATGTAAAATTTTACAAAATAATAATAGTTAATTTATGTTGGTACTTCCTGGTTAAAAGCATTGCCATGCATATGAGATGCCTTGCCCATCTTTAAAGTTAATACATCTGCCAGTCAGGCCAGATTTGTATATTTCTAAGGCTTTTAAGAAGGTAGTATGTGTTTTATTCAAAATATTGTGTTTTTTGTTTATGGCATGCTTAGTGGACTCAATGGATTATTAAGCATTCCATACACAAAAAACAATATATTTTGAATGAAAAATATACTACCACCCTGTCAATTTATTGCCACTGAGACTGACATGAAAACCAACTTTCAGAATGCCATATTAATCAAACAGTCCTTTCAAACCAACCACATTGGGGCTCTATGACCCTTAGAAAAATACAAATCTGACTTGACTGGCAGTTGTATTAACTTTAAAGATGGGCAAGGTGTCTCATAAGCATGGCAATGCTTTTATGAAAAACCAGGAAATACCAATATAAATTAACTATTATTATTTTGTAATATTTTGCATCTTATATTTATATCTGTTTTAATTTTATAATTCTTAAAAAGACCACTGATAATGTACAGTTATAAATTTTGTTTTACATTATTATATATCTGTTCTAATTATTTAAAAAATTTTGAAAATTTATGCTTTTCACGTTCCAGTTTGGAATATCATTGTTGACCTGATGCAGATCTTGTTTAAGATGGAAAATGTTCATCAATTTTTATATTAAAATTTTGTTACTGAATGTTAAAGGTTTTGTTAATTGTGCTTAATGAAAATTTTAAATTTTAGGAAATTTGTTGTTTTTCTTTGTTTATCTATATTTGATTTGAAAAATAATAATAATGAAATTTATTATGATAAAACAATTTTTCAATAAACATATTTAGAAATTTCTGCAGAATTGCAATATCAGCTGAGGAGGTTCAACTATTATTATAATAACAATAAAACTAACAACTTAAACTTCACAATATTCAAATTCTGATGATAAAACACAAATTTCTTTGGTAACTAATCATATAAAATAAAAATTCTTATCATAACATAAATATCAGTTTAAGTAGTTTTTAAAAATTTCATTGTTTTAATTGTATACAGTAATACCTCGACTTACGCTACCCCAACTTACGCGAACCCGGAGTTACGCAATTTTCAGATCTCGTCGATTTATCTTTTGTTTGAGCGCCATGCAACTCTTGATTACTCACTCCCCTTACACTATGTTCAGCTTACATGTTCGGACGTGCTGCGCGGAATCCACACATAGCTACAATTTATTTTGTGTTATTTATTTCTGTTTGTTATATCTACACAGACTCGAGAGACTCTATGTGGTGATTTCTTATAACCGTAAATGAATCAAAAGATGAGATAAGATTAATGAGAACATTTATTAGCTTACATACATCTGACTTGGATTTTACATAGATTGCGAAATTATACCCCGACTTATGCGAATTCGACTTACACGGTTATCACTCAGTCCCATCTATCGCGTAAGTTCAGGGTATTACTGTATATATTTTCAAATTTATTTTAAAATTAATTTAAAGATTCTGAAATTAAATTTAAAACTTTATTTAACTTTTTATAAATTCTGTTTTTAATCAGTTTTTAAAGATTTAAAAATAACAACAATAAACAAATTAAAAATTAATTTTAGAGAGATGATAATGAAGAAATTAAAAAGCCTTCAGTTCCAAATGAAAAGTCATCGCCGCCTAAAAGTATTTTTGAAGGAATGCCAAAAATACCAAGATACTCAGATAGTGACAGTGCTTCTTCAGATCTCTTTAGAGACGAAGGAGAATATTTGTCTGCTAGTACTGAAACAGATGAATTTGTAAAAGAAGGAAAAGTCAATGATGATATTCAGTCTATTTCCAAAAATAGTATTCGCTCTATCTCTAAAAATAGTGTTGAGATAGAAGATTCAACTAGAGATTTGTTTGAAGGTAGGTATATTAATTGCATAGATTTTTAAAATTTATATATTATTTTGCTTTTGAGCATATTTGTATTAAAAAAAAAAATTTATTTTAAGCAATAAATTTCTCAAATGGCTTAGCNATTTAATTACAATCATTCCATATATACTGAGTGATTGTAATTAAAGTATTCCTATTTAAAACTGCCTAGAGAATATTCATTCTTATACAACTCATACTACTGTATCAAAACTTTCACCTTTACACTGAAAAATTTTATTCATAATTGTCAATGTTTTTGGCCCTGTTTATGAGCCCTCGTCATGTTTTCCAGCTTTCTGTTTTAGAATAACCAAATTGCTTCAAATCAAGTTAACAACAATTGAATCATGTATTGTTGATACAAACAAGTAATTGTGTTTTCTTTTAATTTGTTTTAATGGTATATCTTTCATGCTGTCAGGAAGATTCAAGTCTCAAAAATTTGATTTGAAAGAATTTGGAAAAGTTGAGTTATTTTAAAATGAAAAGATAGAATATCTGACAAAGGCTTATAAATAGGATTTAAAAATATTATATGGTGATTATGAATAAAATTTTTCATGTAAAAGTGAAAGTTTTGATACTGTCTAGAGAGAGGTTTAGCAGTTCAAATGCAATCAGATTTGGTATAGTGACATTTTAGCATATGTAGAAGAAATTTCTAAAAAAATGAAAGTACCAAAACTCATTACACTAACACTTTTGGTACTGCAAGCAATAATAAGCAGTTTAATTTGTGGGGACACTTAAAGTGTGGCTTATTCAGGACATGTTGCAAATTTGGCAGCCTTGAAAGATAGTATCACAACATGTTAGAAGCATCACAGAAAATCAGATTTGAACAACATTGATTGCGGGCAGGGTGCCCCAATTGTATCGTTGTGCTTTATAGTGAGCTATTTCGTGCGTCTTTGGCGTCAGTTTTGCCTTGCAAATTTGCTCTCCTTGTAAGTGCGATAACGAAACCAAGGGGAAGTAGTAACTGTACCTCCAAGTGGTCCTGCCCGCAAGTAGCCCCTCGTGGGCGAAACTAAACAGTTACTGCGTTTCTTACTATTAAAAAACAGTCCTTTTAAGGACTATGGCAAAGAGACAGAAAACCTCTGATACAGACGACGAGGTGTCGTCGCAGGAAATGGAAGTTTCCCTGCATGATGAACGAATTATAACGGCAGAAGGAATCAGAGATAATATAGAGGAGTATATGCTGAACAGTGGCAAAAGTCGGATAAACTCCAAAAGCCACGTGAGCTACGTGGTTGAACAAATCGATAAATTAATAGACTTATTTCGCCACAAAGAAGAAGCGGTACCGTTGCAAGCCGCAATGGAAAACATCAGCAAAAAGCTGGATCAAGTTTTGAATAAACAGACTTCTTTTCCGCAAAGTTATGCACAGGTTACTGCACCTAAGAAGACAAGTAAACCTAAAGAGGTTATTTTGGTGGAACCGTCGAAAGAAGGAGATGATCCTGAATATACAAAAGAACAGTTAAAGAAGAAAGTGGATCCAAAGAAGATAGGAGTCGGTATACAGGCAGTCCGTAAACTGCGTAAGGGAGGGATTGCCATTGAACTTAATAGTGTTGAAGACAAGAATAAACTTCGTAAAGAAATAGAAGAAAAGACGGGCCTTAGGACAAGGGAGCCCGCGAAGAAGCGACCAAGACTAATCATCTATGGGGTGGCTAAGGACACTCCGAAAGAAGAAATACTGGATTGTCTTTATGAACAGAATGAAGTTTTGAGCACAGGTATGACAATGGAGGAGTATGCCAAGGAGATTGAGTTAAAGTTCCAATTTGGAAGTAGAGAGAAAAGAACAGTAAATTGGGTGATTGAGGTCACTCCAAAAGTGAGACAGATGTTGTTGCCAAGGAAAAAGATCAATCTAGGTTGGTCACGCTGTGGCATTGAAGATTATATCAATGTGGCACAATGCTTCAAATGTTGCAAAATAGGACACATTGCCAAAAATTGTCCTGAGAAGGACATAGTATGTAGTCAATGTGGTAATAACCACAAGTATCGGGATTGTCCCAATAAACATAGAGTGGAATGTTGCAATTGTAAACGAGAGAAATTAAGAGAAGTGAGCCATAATGCCTTTGATAAGAAATGCCCTTTAGTGCAAAAGGTACGTCGACTCATAATTGCTAAGATCGATTATGGCAGTCAATAATAGAAATATAAAGATTAAAATGGTTCAAGTGAACGTGCAAAGATCGATAGCGGCTACATTGGCACTGACTAAAACGATGGAAAAACTTGATATAGCTTTGGTGCAGGAGCCCTATTGTTACAGGGGTGTACCAGGCTATTTAAGAACATCATATAGAACTCTATATAATGTAGATGAAGGAGTAAGACCAAGAACAATGGCTATAGTGAACAATACGTCAATACCAGTGTTATTCTATGGTAACTGGAGCAATGATAGCATGACTTGTTTCGAGATAGGAAGTGGTAGTGAAAGCATGGTATTAGTGAGTATATATTGCCCGATAACTGAGGACTTAGGTCCCCTTCTTTCGAATTTAGATGAAGTGATTACAACTTTTGCACATAAGCAAGTAATAATAGGGGGTGACATTAATGCGCATTCCCAACTATGGGGTGACACAAATAATGATGACAGAGCAGAATTATTTTTGGATTTTGTCAGTTCCAACCAGTTACACCTACTTAATGATCCAGAGTCACCTCCAACTTTCGATGCTCAAACAGGAAGAAGTTGGATAGATGTGACTGTATGCAATGAAAGAGCTTTAAGCAGAGTATCACAGTGGACAGTTGCGCCGGTCAGTAGTCTAAGTGACCATGGTTACATTTACATAGATATAGGACATCAAGACAGGATAGTGGAAGAAGATACAATGCAGTATGCAGTTAGACATGCCAATTGGACTCTGTTTCAGGAAAGACTGGAAGAGGTTATGCAGAGCACAAGCCTCGATATCATAATGACAAAGGAAAGGGCGGAAATGATAATTACAGAATTTAATAATAAAGTGGTTCAGATATGTGAGGAAACCATCCCTAAAAAGAAGAAGGGACGGAAGAAGGTCCCGTGGTGGACCAGTGAATTGGGAGAGTGGCGGAAAACAAATAACCGGCTGAGACGCCGATATCAAAGAAACAGGAGGGAAGAAATACGACAGAAAAGTAAGAGTGAATATTTGGAACATAGTAGGAAGTATAAGGCAAAGATTAAAGAAGCGAAGATCAAATCCTGGCAAGATTTCTGTACCCAAAGCTCGAATAAGCCTTGGGGCTACATTTATAAAGCTTGTATCAATAAAATTAGACAGCCACAATACTTAACAACGATAAAGGATGGAACCACTTATACAGAGGGAATTGAGGGCACAATTATGACACTAATGAATGGGTTTTTCCCTGAGGATAACCCAGACGAGGATACAGAGGAACAGAGGAGGATGCGAGAAGAAGTACAGAGTCAGTATCTAGGACAGCTAGACCCAGAGTTTACAAGAGAAGAGGTGAATAACGCTATCCACCGGATTAAGCCGGGGAAAGCACCAGGCAAAGATAAAATAGTGGCCGAAATACTATACAAAATCTGGGAAACTGGCCCTGGGTTTATCCAGGACTTATATAACTTGTGTTTAAAGTTCGGAACCTTCCCAAAGGTATGGAAAATCGCAAAACTTGTGATTATACCTAAGGGCGATAAGGTAGATAAGAGCTTAAGGAAAAGTTACCGCCCAATAAGCCTGCTGCCAACAATGGGCAAAGTTTTGGACTTTATGGTTAGTCAACGAATATTGCAATATCTGGAACAGAGAGAGTTTATGAGCCCAAAACAGTTTGGGTTTTTACCGGATAAAAGTACAGACGATGTAATTTACAAGGTTGTTGAGACCATAACAACTAAGCTAAATAATAAGAAGTATTGTTGCGCAATAAGTTTAGATATACAAGGGGCATTCGACCATACATGGTGGCCCCTTGTTTTGAGTACGCTAAGAAGAGCGGGATGTCCGAGTAATATCTATGAAATTGTGAAGGACTATTTTAAGGATAGGAAAGTGGAATATCAAGCAGGTGAATCATGCATTGAATACAATTTAAGTCGAGGGTGTCCGCAAGGATCTAATTCCGGACCCCTCTTCTGGAACATTGCATATGACAGCTACCTAAAAACTGACAAGGGTAACGATATAGCCGAGTTCGCATACGCGGACGATACAATAGTCCTTTTTGGAGCGAATTCGAGAAGGGACATTGAGAACCAAGGAAACATACTATTGAACCTGATCTCAAGTAGGGGAAGGGAGCTTAAACTCCACTATAACCCCAGAAAGACAGTAGCGATTGTTTTCTCAAAGGGATCTATCCCGGATCTTTATAAGCGCACGCCTACCCTAAAGATGGAAGGCGAAAGCATCAAGGTGGAAAAGCAGATGAAGTATCTGGGGGTGATACTAGATCACCGTCTGACATGGCTACCACATGTTAAAGCTATGAGGAATGTAACAACAAACTTATTTAATGCATTGGCAAGGGTTGCTAAGGCTCATTGGGGCCTAAGCACAAATGCTTTAGCCACAATATATGAAGGGGCATTTATCCCCAAGATAACGTATGCTGCTGGGGTGTGGTATGCGGCAGCACAGAAGGTTGTAATTAAGAAACAAGTACGGAGTGCGCAAAGGATGGCTCTGTTGAGGTTGACAAGAAGCTTTAGAACGGTGTCAACAGATGCGTTACTAGTAATTGCTGGAACGCCACCCATAGACCTGGTGTTAAAGGAGAAGGCAAATTGTTATAGGTGGAGAAGAGGATTACCTCTGATACTAGATGACCAGATGGAAAGTATGGAATACGAGACAAAACCAAAGGCTACAATGCTACCCAAGTTATATCATAGAATGGCCATAATGACAGCAGCAGAAGGGGAAAGTAGTGAAATAAACATTTATACGGACGGGTCGAAGGTTGAAGACCGAGTAGGAGCTTCCTTCTTGGTCGAAAAAGAGGATAAAATTATACATTACGAGCAGTTCCGGTTGGATAACCGCTGCTCGGTTTACCAGGCGGAATTATTGGCTTTGTTACAAGCAGTAAAATGGTGTGCCAGTAGTCAAAACTTAAGCTCTATAATAATAAATACAGATAGCAGGGCGGCCCTGCAAACATTGCAACAATTTACAGATACAAACCAAATGGCTCTAGAGATGAAGACCCTAATAAGGGTAAATCATTTACAGATTAAGTTCAGATGGGTTAAGGCCCATAGTGGCATTAGAGGAAATGAAAGAGCAGACGAGTTAGCTAAGGAAGCTACACAGCTAGAAGAGATTACGTACAGTAAAATCCCAATATCATATGTAAAAAGGAGATTAAGACAAAGTACAGTAGAAATATGGCAAGAAGAATGGAGTAATGGGAGGAATGGTAGACATACTTTTTGGTTGCTTCCCAGTGTTGAAGAACGGACTAGAGAACTTAGATGGCTAACACCAAACTTCTATTTAACTCAGCTTCTGACGAATCACTGCAATACGAAAGATTATCTCAAAAGAATCAATAAAGTGCAGGATACCTTATGTGTGTGCGGAAACGGGATGCATAGTCTGGAGCATCTTCTGGAAGAGTGCAGTAAGTACGAACAGGAACGTCTGCAATTTCAGCTGCAAGCGAAAGACGTCATTCATACAAGTGAGATAGACCTTTATATGTGCCTCAGACACAGGGACTTAGTGCGGGAATTGCAGAACTTCACGCGGAGAATATTGTCGTGAAAGGGATACGAGTTGTATCCTGGTATTGTAATCAAGTGTACTAGGTTTAAGGCAAGAGCCTTTTGTATATATTTGTTATTTTATTTTATTTATTGTTATAATTGTACAAGATATACAAGATAAATTGAATAAAGAAAAGTCTCCCTTGTTATACGGATAGTGGGACAAGGGTGATGCTGATCCCCATTGGGGAAATGATGATTACCAAAATGAAAAAAAAAAAAAAAAAAAAAACATTGATTGCATTTAGATTGCTAAATATTTTTCTAGACAGTGTTGAATAGAAGTACTTTAATTATGATCTCCCATTATTTTATTTAGCTATCAATTTTTAGCATTTTACAAGAATATCAACATTTTTTTAAGTATCAATATTTTTTAAATATGAATCTTAACAATCTAAATTTTTTATTTTGTAAATCATATTTTGCTTTTACATAATAATAATGTTTATAAATACTAATGTTTTTATCATCATCTGTTAAATATATTTTAAATAACAAGTAGGTTAAAACATCATTACTTGTAGATTATATCTTGTGTAATTACAAAATGTACTGTACTTATCATATATAATCTAAAATGTTAATTTAAAAGTGAATCAGTTCATTCATTTTTAAATAAAAACTAAAAATTTATCTAACCTCTAAAAATTTGTCTAATCCCCATATTCACCAATGCGAGTTAAACAGAGAGTTGACAAACTCCAGTTTAGATGTAACTTTAAGTCAGATTACAAGTTACTCTTCTTTTGTATTCAGATAAAAATATAATTCTAGAGTTTCACTACTCTAGACTTAATGTTTTAAAACAATCCTGCGTTCAAGATTAAACAAGTCTTCTTTCGTAAGCAGAGTCTTTGCAGTAATTTTGAGAAGGAAATTCTACTCGAATTAGTCAAAGTATAAATCTATAATTGAAAACATAATTTTTTGATGATGTAGAAACTAAATTGTGACCAGTTTGTTCTAGTATTTTCTTACGCTCTCTTTTGGCAAATGATAACAACATAGAAAGTCGTAATCGTCCAATTGTTCAAGGTCATTTTTTCTTGGAGAAATAATCCGCCAACTTCTTCATTCCATATAATCTAGATATTTCAGATTTTCTAGCATCTCTACTTTGTCCTCGTCCTCGTCGAATGTTGCCATTTTTCCCTGAAATAGATCACTTTGCGCAGGTGTCAAACCCAGAGTTATCATCTACTCACTGATTTTCTAGCGTTAGGGTTAGGGTTATTGTGTTTGACTCGAGATTCGAAGTTGGTGAATACCAATTTACCAATAAGTAGAGAGTTAACTCTAACTCATTTTGGTGAATATGGGGGTAAATGTTTCATGTAATAAGCACACATAATAATAACACTTAATTCTTATTAAAAAGATCATTTATTTTTTTAATAAAAATTAAGTGTACTTATAAAATATATATTTAATAAAAATAATACTGTAATGATACAGTAGTCATAGTATTTGAGCTTCACTATTCTTGTGTTCAAAGAATTTTATCAGAAAGATTATTTATAGTTAAAAAAAATTTTGCAAATTAAAAATGACTAGATATAAATATTTTATGCTTTCTTAAATAAATTTTAATTAAAGTATTACCTTCAATGAGAAAAACCAGACCAAATTTATTGTTTAAACATTTCAAAAGTATTACTGTTGCTATTGAGAATGAAAATATTATGTAATGATGGTTTTTAGAATTTTAAGGCATTGTGACGTAGAAACAATGAAAGTTAATAGATTAATCACTTTTACGTATTTTAAGAAAAAATAAATAAAATCCAACAAATAGCAACATATAATTTAACAAATTTATAAATTAAACCAAAGAATTTTAATGTATAATTAATTATTAAAGGTGATAAAACAGTTATAAAAATATACAAATTGATAACTGTATTTTATGTCTTAAATTCAACTAATATTATCTGCAATTGTTAGATTTGAGCTGATTCCCTAATAAACTCATTTTAAATTCAAAATTATGCATATGTAGAACTGCTTAATTACATTGCCTAATTTCTTTAATAAACATAAGATTGATTGCCTTAATTAAGCATTCTTGTATGTAATTTTAATATTGAGGACAAGTTTCATTTATTTTGAGGGCCTTAAGTTCAATTTACTCAAGTCTTCTAAATCCAAAATTTTAAGTTATTTATATACAATCACATAGTATTTTGAAATCTTAAAATATTTTACAAATTAAACTTTATTTTAGAAATTGAAAGTGAAAATGAAAGTGATATGAAGGAAGAATTTGAAAGTGACAAAGAATCATCATCTGATGAATCATTTGTGAGTATTATTAAATTTATCTTTAATAAATTATTGCTATTCAAATTAATTCTGAGTACAATTTCATTTTAACTTTTGTTGTTATTTATGTTAAAATACTCAATTTTAAATATATACAGGAATGAAAATTTTAACTTCTCAATAACTGGAACAAATTATTAAGTACAATCAGCAGAACCTTTAACCTTTAGTAATGAAATTTTAATGTAAAAATTGACAAATATGTTCAATCTTAAACAAGATCTGCATCAGGTAAATAATAATAATCCAAATTGAAACACTGAGAACATAAGTTTTCAAAACTTTTTAAAATAATTAGAACAAATATGTAATGATTTAAAACAAAACTTATAACTATACATAATCTGTGGTCTTTTTAAGAATTATAAAATTAAAAAGATATAAATATAAGATGTAAAATTTTACAAAATAATAATAGTTAATTTATGTTGGTACTTCCTGGTTAAAAGCATTGCCATGCATATGAGATGCCTTGCCCATCTTTAAAGTTAATACATCTGCCAGTCAGGCCAGATTTGTATATTTCTAAGGCTTTTAAGAAGGTAGTATGTGTTTTATTCAAAATATTGTGTTTTTTGTTTATGGCATGCTTAGTGGACTCAATGGATTATTAAGCATTCCATACACAAAAAACAATATATTTTGAATGAAAAATATACTACCACCCTGTCAATTTATTGCCACTGAGACTGACATGAAAACCAACTTTCAGAATGCCATATTAATCAAACAGTCCTTTCAAACCAACCACATTGGGGCTCTATGACCCTTAGAAAAATACAAATCTGACTTGACTGGCAGTTGTATTAACTTTAAAGATGGGCAAGGTGTCTCATAAGCATGGCAATGCTTTTATGAAAAACCAGGAAATACCAATATAAATTAACTATTATTATTTTGTAATATTTTGCATCTTATATTTATATCTGTTTTAATTTTATAATTCTTAAAAAGACCACTGATAATGTACAGTTATAAATTTTGTTTTACATTATTATATATCTGTTCTAATTATTTAAAAAATTTTGAAAATTTATGCTTTTCACGTTCCAGTTTGGAATATCATTGTTGACCTGATGCAGATCTTGTTTAAGATGGAAAATGTTCATCAATTTTTATATTAAAATTTTGTTACTGAATGTTAAAGGTTTTGTTAATTGTGCTTAATGAAAATTTTAAATTTTAGGAAATTTGTTGTTTTTCTTTGTTTATCTATATTTGATTTGAAAAATAATAATAATGAAATTTATTATGATAAAACAATTTTTCAATAAACATATTTAGAAATTTCTGCAGAATTGCAATATCAGCTGAGGAGGTTCAACTATTATTATAATAACAATAAAACTAACAACTTAAACTTCACAATATTCAAATTCTGATGATAAAACACAAATTTCTTTGGTAACTAATCATATAAAATAAAAATTCTTATCATAACATAAATATCAGTTTAAGTAGTTTTTAAAAATTTCATTGTTTTAATTGTATACAGTAATACCTCGACTTACGCTACCCCAACTTACGCGAACCCGGAGTTACGCAATTTTCAGATCTCGTCGATTTATCTTTTGTTTGAGCGCCATGCAACTCTTGATTACTCACTCCCCTTACACTATGTTCAGCTTACATGTTCGGACGTGCTGCGCGGAATCCACACATAGCTACAATTTATTTTGTGTTATTTATTTCTGTTTGTTATATCTACACAGACTCGAGAGACTCTATGTGGTGATTTCTTATAACCGTAAATGAATCAAAAGATGAGATAAGATTAATGAGAACATTTATTAGCTTACATACATCTGACTTGGATTTTACATAGATTGCGAAATTATACCCCGACTTATGCGAATTCGACTTACACGGTTATCACTCAGTCCCATCTATCGCGTAAGTTCAGGGTATTACTGTATATATTTTCAAATTTATTTTAAAATTAATTTAAAGATTCTGAAATTAAATTTAAAACTTTATTTAACTTTTTATAAATTCTGTTTTTAATCAGTTTTTAAAGATTTAAAAATAACAACAATAAACAAATTAAAAATTAATTTTAGAGAGATGATAATGAAGAAATTAAAAAGCCTTCAGTTCCAAATGAAAAGTCATCGCCGCCTAAAAGTATTTTTGAAGGAATGCCAAAAATACCAAGATACTCAGATAGTGACAGTGCTTCTTCAGATCTCTTTAGAGACGAAGGAGAATATTTGTCTGCTAGTACTGAAACAGATGAATTTGTAAAAGAAGGAAAAGTCAATGATGATATTCAGTCTATTTCCAAAAATAGTATTCGCTCTATCTCTAAAAATAGTGTTGAGATAGAAGATTCAACTAGAGATTTGTTTGAAGGTAGGTATATTAATTGCATAGATTTTTAAAATTTATATATTATTTTGCTTTTGAGCATATTTGTATTAAAAAAAAAAATTTATTTTAAGCAATAAATTTCTCAAATGGCTTAGCTATACCTTTTAATGAAAATTTAAGATATCAAGAGTAATCAAAGGGAGAGACAATTGCTCCTCTTGAGATTTGCTTTATTTTTTCATTTTTCTTTATTTTTTTTAATAATAATTTTATAAGGCAATGATATTTTTATAACATTGATTTTAGTATTTTCTCTTATTATACTGAAGTGACTATAATCCATGTGTGACAAGATAGCTTTAAAAAGAACTAAAGAGGCTATGTCTGGTTGTACTGTTGGAAAGATTCCATGTTTTATAGAGTAATTGGAATTTTTCTTACACACATTTATTAGTCAATCTTGTGAAGATATTGAAGATAAAGTTCATTTCTACTTAAATTAGATATGCTTTTCTTTTAATGAACCAATATCAGTGACTTCTGGATAGCCGAGCGGTCAAGATGGCAGCCTACTGCTCTGGAGGACCTGGGATTGAATCTGGACAGGTTGAAAAATCCCCAGGAATTTTTTGGGGATGATCTTTCTGGGTATGTTGGGCCCCATCTCTCACTACCCAGCCACTCCATTGTGGTCCTGGTTGAACCCATAGTGGGCTTGCTTAAAGAGGTCTTTTTAGTGCTCACCAGGCAGAAAGAGTTAAAAAATAATAATAAAGAACCAATATTAGTAGAGAATCTGCTATAATTAATTTTGCTGAACAGTGATTTATTGTACACTAATAAGTAAGCTAATTAACAGTTAGTTAATTAGCTTATTTATTATTAGCTAATTAATATTTATTTAAAATTTGCTATTTTAAATGTCAATAAACTTTTTACTTTACATTTTATTTGAATAAAATCAAATTGAGATGTCTTCAAATAAAAAATCATATCAGGTATATTATGCATTTTGGAAAGGTTATAATGCTGTACAAATAATACAAAAAACTGATAATGTGTATGGGAAAGATGCTCCTAAACTTCAAGCATGTCAATTATGGTTTAAGAAGTTTCAATCAGGAAATTTTGAACTAAAGGATACAAAATGTACAGGGGACCCAAAAGCTGTAAACAAACAATTTTAAAAGAAGAAATTGTTAAAAATTGATGAATAACACACAAAGTGTATAACCAAACATACTGTACGAGTGTAATGCAAGAGTGAGAATTAACTTGGATGCACAACAAATTGCTTTTATACTTTGAGCACTTGTTTTACATCCATACAGTTCAGACTTTGAAGCATCGTTTGAATGGCAGATCAAATTTTGTCGAATTTAGCATTTGAAGTACCACTTTATATGTATTTTTTTATCATTCAATGAAATTCAATGACAGTTGTAAGAATGATGCATAATAAGACCAAAAAGCAATTACTATGTTGAAGTGTATTGCTAACTCAAATAACTGCTTGCTTAAAAATAGTTATAAAAAAACAAATAATGCATTTGATTCATTAATTTTAAAAATGTTTTAAAAGATTTGCAGATCCCTAGCATTTCATTTGCAGAGCTTTAGGACTTTGCAGAACCCACACATTTTCCAAAGTATTATAATACTTTGCAAAATGTGTTATAATACAATAATACTTGTGGAAAATATGTTTTCTGACTATTACACAGTAAAGTAACTTTTGCCAATGCAAAAGGTTTGCAAGATGTCAATTTTTAAAATTTTCTGTTTTGATTATATATTGAGTTCATAAAATCTAATTATGAGCAAGCATAGCTGAATTAGTAAGATGGCTGATTGGTGAGTTCGACATCATAGCTTCTTGTCTCTCTTCTTTCAAATTGTTTTGTAAAGCAAGCTTTTCCTATAATTCATAATTATGTAAATTATTATTTATATTAGGCCAAAACTTATCATTTTATATAGTCACTTAATAGGATGCAATTAAAATTCACTCATTTTTTTTTGCACCAACTGAGAACACCATTTTTCCTTCCAATGATAAGATATGACTTGTTTAACTTGTATTTTCTCAAAGTACATGCTGATATAACAAAGATATTTATAATTTTTATTTAATATTTGATGCTATCATTATTAATAAATACATTTGTCAATTTTATTTGACTAAGCTATCGTGTATCTTTAAATTACATTACATTGCTTTGAGAAATATCTTGGTAGTATTGAAGTATTTTATCATTTCATATGCATAGTTTTATGCATAGTTTTTTTTACACAATTTTTTCTACTTCAAATATGATGGTAATATGCTAGAATTTCTTTATAATCTTTTGTTTATTCTCTTCTTAATGATGATATAATAATAGCATAATTATTGAATTGTATCATATTTTAAATATAATTATACTTATGCACAAAACTTAAATTATAGCATATCTTATGGTCAGTACAAAAGATTTGTTAATGTAAGATGTGATAAATTTGTTTCTAGAAGTAGATTTTCTTTAAATATGTTGTAATATTATAAATATATCAATAAATAATTAAATTTAAACTTACATAAATTATTTTAAAGTATTAAATATATAATTTAATGCAAATCACACTAAAATTTTTATGTAAATTATTCCAGATGATATGTTTAGTGTGAATAAAAGTGAAGACATATCATATAGAAAACCCTCTACTCCTAGCAAAAGTAATCTGTTTGATAGTGACACTTTTGAGGTACTGTTTTATAACAAAAAAATTAAATTTATTTATATTATATCTATATTTTACTTTGTATTTTTATGACAGAATTTTACAAAGTATCATCATTAAAATAAATTATTATTATTTGATAGTATTTTCATTTCAACTTATCACAAAATGTCAAATTACAGTAGAGCGTCAGTTATCTGAATATCAATCAACTGAAATGTCAATTAACCGAAAGCTTTCCAGTCGGCAAATTTAAATTTTCACTAGTGCTGTGACACTGCAATCTTTGGCTATGTCTTGGGCTACTGCAATAGTATTTTTGTTGGTGTGCGTGTTTTAGCTGGCAGCACTGGTGCAACCATGAGAGAGTACTTGAGGACATGCCAGGATTTGAACAAATTTCAACATGGGATAGGCTAATATATTTTTTCAAACATAATTAGTTATCTGAAAAATCGATTTTCCAAACAACCCCAGTCCCCAATTGATTTGGATAATTGATGCTCTACTGTATTTTGAAATTAAAATATTTACTTTAAATATATTAACATTTTATTCAATTAAATTGCATAGATTCCTATGGTTATTAAATTTTCATTAATAGAAAGAAGCATTTTCTTCAATAAGAAAATTTAATTTCAAAAGTAATTTATGTAAATTAATCTTATGTATTATTATTAATATATTATTTTCAGAAAAAAAGAAAGTTTACAAATGTAATATGTAATAATGAATTCTATTCATATAAGCTTGCACACTAATTATTCTAATTAAAAAACATGAAATCTTATCACATTAGAAAGAACATATTAATTTCATTATAAATTATTACAGCAGAGATAACTAGTATTACCTGAATTATAAAGAAACCATACTTATAATATGATTTCTTCCAATTAACATACACAAAAGAATTGACTAAATATGTTTTTGACTCATGCATGGACAAAGAATATAAGACTCTCAGAAATACTTTGCTACTCATTCTTACTTATATAAATTTGAGCATATCAACATGTTCAATAGCAATGCCAAGAGCATTTTTAGTAGGGAGCATAAATAAAAAGATTATATACTTCCAACTCTGCAACTTGGTAAAATTGCTTACAAGTGAAAAGGCAATTGTGTATCAGTGGTGTGCCATCATTAGAAGCGGTGGATGCGCCGCTTCCCTTGTATTTTCTAAAAAATAAATACATATTAATTTTAATTATATGAAAATAATCACACAATATTTTATTATAACCGTATTATGTATCTTATTACAAATTTCTATACTACACGTGAAAAAAACGATAAGATTGCTATTGAATATTCGAATATTAGTGGCGGAGTGGAAACTCCTGTATTTTCAGACTAGAGCCACATGTGGTGGAGCATGCGCTTTACAGAGCACCAACGTCACCCGGTTTAGCCGGTGGAAGCCTAGGACCTTGGGTGAATGCTACACGTATACCGCATCTAATTCTATCCAGGACCAGTTCTGGGCTGTCAGTTGCCTGCCCGCTAGATATTTGTCTGCCTTTGCCCGATTATGCGAATCACGAGTAGATTTATAACTTAATCCAACAGATAAGAATTTACTAGTATGTTTTTATGATAGTTCTGTATAGTTGACAGGAGTTTAAAAAATCATTAAAATATTTGATATTTTTATTCCGCTCACCAATTTTATATTACTCATGGATTTCAATGTTAAACTGGTGATATTACGATTTCGTATGTCCCATCTATAAGGGGATGTAGAAAAAATGTGTACAATTCTTGTATAATGTTAAAAACTTAACTGTTACTTTGACAGCATCATTTACAACTAAATTTAATGAATGAGAGAGATGCACAAGGTACAGAAAAAGCTCTAGAATTTATTTTCCTTAAATTTACAATTTATGTATCTGTTTGTCATAAAGATTTGTCTTTCCACTTTTTTCCCAAGACTATAAATATTCAAGTACAAAGTAACCAGTTCTACTTAAGAAGTAGTTAAATAATTAAGCGATTAGGGAATTGGGAACATAAACAAAACCGTGACGAAAGAGCCGAAATTTTACTTAAACAAAAGCTTAACCAAACCATCTCTAGCACAGTGGAGACTGATTTCTTCATATTATTAATGTAATAAAGACAGAAATTTTTCCAGTTCAATGAGAGTGACCAAGTTGTAAATTTTGGAAATTTCCACGGACAACGCCTGGTCCTAAAACGAATTAGTTCAAAAAGAAATGACAGACAATCTATTAAGTTTAACATATTTAGATTTTTACAGCTATGGTGAGAAACGTTTAAAATCTACAACAGCCCTGTCGCATCCTTTGAGATATACTAGTAATGCGACAAAAGAGGTATTTGACATTGACCGGTATCGGCACCCTGGGGATTTGGCAGTCCGCGTGTATGCACGCTCTGCAACCGTCTTCGATTCCATCCACTCGTAGAGAGCTATTTGACTATGTGCAATGTTTTAAGATTTAAAAAGAAAAGAATATTTTATATTTTTATGTACATTTCTTTACAAAGCTATATTTAATTATAATTTTCTTTAAAAGTATATTCATACAATTGAAGAATATTTTGTACCAGGTATGTACCGGTACATCCACCACACATTTTATTTCACCAAGTAAGTTTTTATTATTTTATTTTTAATTGTAGCCCTTATATCGTGACTAGCGATTCAGAATGTAATTGTGATATTAAAAATGCATTTAGAGAAGTCTACGGTTTTTACTGACTTATCGAATAAATGATACGAATGGACCCTAGACTATCATCGACGCGCAATTGACTGATTGCCCCTGGATGTCGGCTTCTTACAGAAACACAGCTTCCCTATCATCAAATGTCACGGCATGCCACTGAACCACAGTAATGGTCTAGAAGAGTCTGACGTGGCTTGCAAACTGCAGTTTGGCCATTATGAGCTTATACCAAATACAATTCAATAGCTTTAAAATTCAGTTATTTTGATGTTTATGCACAAATGAAACAATTTATACATTTATATAGTTCAAATGTTCCCAATATATTAGTCCTATCATCAACATAAACAAAAAAAACCAAATTTTAAAATTATTACACAAAGATATTTAATGATCAGCATTTAACTCTAATCAAAATTTCCTACAGTGAGATATATTATAGGAAAATTATGATCAAACTTATATATAATGACAAACATCATCATTTAAAAAATTAAAGATTCATGTTATATATTACACAAACTTTTAATTTCTTAATAGTTAAATGAATTTCATACATATATAAAAAGTGTATTCAACTATTAATTATAAATTTATTGATAAATCTTATTAAATTTATAATGTAGTATTTTTTATCTATTAAAAACTAAAGTTCCATACTAAAATGACAACAACAGAGAAAGGAATCCTGCGGAAGTTCTTTATTACTGTTGTATTTATATATTTAAACACATTGCACGACTCTGCGGGATGCAAAAGTATAACACAAGAATCAATTAAGGAGTCCAAGTTTTAATTCAGATTAAATGTTTTTTTCAAGCCAACACATACATAAATTCAAAAGAATGTTTAAGATGCATTCTAAAGCCTATGAGTATTTGGAATTTTAAAATATTCTTTTAAAAGTTTCAACATGTAATAAACAGAAGGATTTATGAGATGTGTTGTCTCAGAAATCATTTAATCTACATTTAACTCTGGACGCCTTAATTGTGTTTATATATTTATAGAACTGTTCTATATACTATTTCAAATAAAAACAAACTATACCACTACAGCTATGCACCACTTAATGATAGCAGTCTCATAAGATTATAATAGAACTGAAAAAATTTATAGTTGCCTATACCGTTTCTATTTTTAGATATGTTTAGATATGTGTACTTAAGACCTATATAAGTAGAGACTATACCATAGAGAATTGTACAAGTATCCACTACAATTTTCAGTTAATAATGTATTCTTGAAACATATCCCCGTTGTTAAATGGTACATACTAGTATAAAATTCAAATAATTTCAGTAATGTCCAAATAACATATAGACTAGGACTTTTATAATCAGGATTTTAAATTCAGAGATTTAATCTTCTTTTTTTAACCCGAAAACTAGCTAGAAATTATTTATCAGGATATAAGCATTAATGGATTTCAAATTAATTTCTTTAAAAATGATTTTTAAGAAATAAAGATTTTTAGTAGTATACAGAATAAAAATAAAGAGACTAAGATGAAGTCATTGAGTTTATGAAATCTCTACTGTAATTGCTGTTACAATTGGATTATATTAGATACATCCCACTATGCATCAGTCTCAGCCACAATCAATGCACTGGTGAACAGTTTAATAAGATTTTACTGGAAAGTCTGGTAATCTTACAAGATGACAGAAGCAAACAGCTCTATATTTGCATTTTTGGACTTATTCTGTCAAAATAACTTTGGGTTAATACAAGGGGTGTTCATAAAGTATCGGACCTTTGGTCGGCAAAAATACATTTATTGATTTTGAGGTACAAAACCCTAATTCCCTTCAAAGTAATGTATACATTTCTCCCAGTGCTCCTGCCATTGCTGGAAACACTGCTGGAACGCATCTTTTGGAATGGCCATCAGCCAGTCCATCGCATTCCGCATGATGTCTTCTCTTGACTAAAATCGGGTTCCTTTTAGCGGCATTTTCAGCTTGGGAAATAGCCAAAAGTCACATGGAGCNTCTACAAAGCGTGAGAAATCATGTTCAGAATGAATATATAGGTACGACAGTGTTAGGTTAGACACTCTTTTCCCTTGTAAGCAACGAGACACCACATAATAACACCCGGCATTAAATAGCCACGAGCAATGCGACTACACGCTAGGTAAGCTTTTAACTGATAACCTATCAGTTAAAGTCTTTTTCCTTTAGTTTGTAATATAAACTTCTAATTATGCATTGTGTGAATGTCAGATGCACACGAAGAGAAAATTTAATTTTTACTTAATTACGGGGCATCGATGTCCGTTTATTTAGAACATACGAAAATAGTGTTAATGAAAAGAATACCTAAAGATTTTATCATCTGTTACTGAAAATAACGTGTAATTGTTCATTCTTTGTAAAATTAGACTTTCGTAAGTTGTTTTTGGGTCGAGAAAAAATCATCAGCTTCCTCCTCTTAACGAACTGTTTTAATCACTTTTTACAATGGATGTTGATTGATTAATATTATGTTAGCATAATTGTTTTTACTTTCAAGCTTTAGGCTTGTATAACAAAATATTGGAAAATTTCAGGAAATCGCAGTTTGGGATTAGATTGTCACTTACAACAGTATGCTATACAATAACCTACACGCATAGCAATTCTGAATACGATAGGTTACAGGAAAATCACTTTTTAATTCTGATAGAAGTAGTATCGAATATACATTTATTTAACAAAAGGACCGTCGATACTCCGTCAAAAATCATACACATACACAAAAATCTTTACATTAAAAAAGGTCACTTTGATATTACTATTAATATCTATTGATAATCAAGTACTATCTCCGATCTATCATACAAATTGTCTCCTTTAAAATATGCAGGGATATCTTTATTCTATTAACAGGATTTTAATACAGGCTATGCCCCTCCTTAATCTACTAAAGAGCATATCCCGAAATACTTCTGTGTTCATAGAATAGAGATGTCTTTTCTTTTAAAAAAATGCAGCGTTTTCTGGTACGATAGCTCCTAGAAAATAAAACTTGGATTTTGATGGTTTCGCGATAATCAAGATAATAAGCTAATACAAAAACTTTAATATCTTTTTTTAAAATATTAGTCATGCATTTATTGTTCATACACCATTGTCTGAAATACTACAACTATAACAGACATGTTTGTTTGAAAGTAATAATAAATACCTTTTTTGTTGTTTAGGGTTTCTTCGGGTGAGATACGAATCCGAAACGAAAAAAACGAAGAAATTATTATACCAGAAGCTCAGTTAAATAAAGTCATGAACAGGAATTTGGAACTTCTCATTAAATATTGTGAAAATTCGAAAGTACTGTTTATGCCTTATCCAATCCAGATTATCAAATTATTCGTTACGTAAGTTTTTCACGATACTGACCTTTCATTTAATTTCAATACTTTGTAACACATTATAGTTTATATTTTTTTAAACAGTTATGTACAGATGGACTATCCCGGATTGACCTGTATTACGCAAGCGTTCGATCTGTATCATCTGAGTTCAAGATACGAGTTAGTTGATTTAAGAAGGAAATGCAGATCATTTATCATTCAGCAAATAAACCTGGATACCGTCTTTGCAATCCACGATTTTGCACGTCAGATCGGTGATCTGGTCATACCTTATTATTGCTGGCTAGCTTTCGACCAACTAGGAGAAAGACTATTTACAACAGTCACCTTTATGTGCTGTAAAATTGCAACAATTGATAGACTGTTATCTCGAGCGATATATGAATCAGTCAGTGAGTTGCGTTTACTCGGAGCCGTGTATCAGTGGAGCATAAATGAAGTTAAAAAAAAATTTGGTGAACACAAGTTCCATTCGATGAGTGAAAAATCGAAAAGGAGTGTAATAAGAAAGGTAATGGAGCCATTTATTGGAAAAGTCAGATTTCTTGCCATGAATGAATACGAATTGCAATTTTGTCTTTATACAATGAACTTGTTAAGCGACGTAGAAAAGAGTCATATCTGCTATGCTTATAAGACTGGTAATTATTTCTTTTATCCCAGTTACTTCAGTCGAGAAACAAAAACCAGAAGCAGAATAAATTATTGGAACTTGTTCTCGTACATAAATCGTGGAGTTCCTTTTATGGTCGCAAACAGAAAGATGAAAGATTACATATATTTTAGCAGCGAAGTACTTGTGAGGGAAGATTGTTTCGTCACGGCTCTTCGATTTCCGGTGAAGCTTGGCAAAAGTTTTCCAATGTACGTACACGCGTATATTAACTCTTTGGACAACGAGCAGTTTTCGTTTGACACCGTTTGCAATTCAGAGGGAGTAGCAAATCTGCAAACGAAGTATTATCTAGAAAAATATTGGTCAATTCGTTTCTTTGCTTTCTTTTTTCCCCCTGAAAATGTTCAACCCGGTATCGAGTTTTTACCTGAACTGAGTTACTTTGTGAGCGACGAAGGAACAGATGCCAGGAAATTTGAAGACAAAATTATAACCTGTGACAGAAACCTTATGAACAATATTTACTTTTCGGTCGATTTATATTTTTGAAGTTAAAAGTTTCTCTGGAAAAAAGTGAAATCTGAACGAGAATATAATGTAAAGTTAATTCAAATATAATTATTTCTTACTGTATCACTAAAATTTCTGCAAAATCTGTGTGTATGTGAACGGCATAATGAATTTATTGAATTTACAGAAAACAAAATTTAAATATAAAGTTCTTATTAATGTAATTTTTCTTATTGAAAAGTAAATTGTCTTTTTATTGCAGTAGATTTTCTAGAAAGAAATATTAATATAATTACAATCTTGCAACATTAATCTTTTCTTTCTTCGTGTTAATGACAATAGAAATATGAAAAGTTAAAACTAGAATTTTTGCCTAAATGTAAGTGCAAATCGATATTCACATTTCAATTTTAGTATTTACGATATTGTTCTTTGTATTCTTTGTCAAGAATGTAATGTTTTTCCATTCTTTTCATCTACGACACTTTGCGTAAATTTAATTGGCTTCAAATTTGATTTGTTTAAAGTGAATGTGTCGAGAACTCTGGTCACTGACATTAAAAAGATCACTATTCAAAAGAAGCTTTATAAGGTGTAGCTTTAATACTACGTGATTACAGTGAGGTAATTTTGATAGCTGTACTGTACTTATTTATAATACTAAACAATAGGACATTGGAACAATAGGCATAAAGAAATTTTCGACTTGATTTTTAAAATATACAATTTCTAAAAATAAATATAAAAGTATTTATTTACTATATTTACTGCAATCGTATTTTGTAAAATTTTTATTGCCATATTTAATTTAATTTTAATAATGCTGTTTTATTGCATGCCTGTTTTACTGTATAAATGGATATGTTTAAATACAAACACGAAGTATTAAACGATTAAAAAATTTTCTTCTGTTTTGTGTAATACTTTAAAGACATTAATTAACCAGTGTTATTTTTTCTTTTAATTGAATAGAATGCAAATTTTTTATAACATGGTAGAGTCGAAATTTTTTTTGAGTTTGGCCCTTTTTCCCAAACATAAAGTATAACATAACGCACATGAAACGTAATTAGTTAAAAAATGATAAAGCCGTAGAACAATACAGAAAATTCTTAGACAAAAATGTTTTAATTATAATATTCCCTATCAGTTTGACTTATTGCTAGGCAGATTGATAACCTTAAAAGCTTAGCAATCTACGTATTTTCTTGAATATGTTTAGTGTTTACACGCATTAATTATAAACATAAAATTTAATTTATGATAATTTATATTATAATAAAAATATTTGTTAGGGGCCTGTCTTGTAGATTACGTAAGGGCGATTTCGGCCATTCTAGCCCCACTTACCACTGTGTAAGAAACCGTTATATTTTTTTTATCCCCTCCTTTTCCTTATCTTACGTTATATAGCATGATTTTATAGAAAAATTTTAACAAAAAGAATATTTTTTTATGAAACCTTAAAAACCTTAGGTTCAAAATATATAATTACTAATTAGTTAATTAATATAAACTATTATTTCTAAAAGTCTTTATGTGAACAAGTTTAAAAATATAATGAATTCGAATGAACAATTTATTTTAACAACTTTATTTTTAATTATTAATAATTGATTTATTATTATTATTGTCATCATAAACAACTTCATAATATTCCTTGTTATATTAATTTTAATTTTCACAAAAAACTTTGACAGATCGACAAGGTAGCGCACGTGTAACAGAAATGTCGTACAAAATAAAACGAGAGAATACGCAGTAGCGTGCCGTCATTAGAAGCGGTGGAAGCGCCGCTTCCCTTGTATTTTCTAAAAAATAAATGCATATTAATTTTAATTATACGAAAATTATCGCACAATATTTTATTATAACCACATTATGTATCTTATTACAAATTTCTATACTAAACGTGAAAAAAAAGATAAGATCGCTATTGTATATTTGAATATTAGTGGCGGAGTGGAAACGCTGTATCGTCAGCATCCAAAAAGCTGGATTTGCGTACGCGCTTTACAAAGCACCAACCTCACCTGGTTTAGCTGATGGAAGCCTATGACCTTGGGTGGCTGCTACATGTATAACACATCCAATTCTATCCAGGACCGGTTCTGGGTTGTTAGCCGCCCGCCTTCTAGATATTTGGCTGCCCTCGCCCAGTTACGTGAATCACGAGTAGATTTATAACTTAACCAATAAGAATTTACCTGTATGTTTTTATGATAGTTTTCTGTATAGTTGACAGGAGTTTAAAAAAATCCGTTAAAATATTTGATATATTTATTCCGCTCTCCGATTTTGCTTGAAAAGCCAAAGGAAAACAAGAACTTTTTGATACTTACAAAATTTCTTACAGCTCATCAAGGTTAACAAATTCTTGCAATTTTAATATATATCTACAGCATTATCAAAGCTAGAATATTCTAGTTGTAATTACAATGTAATTATAAAGTTCTGAGAGTTTTAAAATAAAATCTTATAATGTGAGAGGGAGGAAATAGGAAGAAATTGTCTTATAGGCAAAAGAAAAACGTAAGCTGTAAAATGTATGGAAAAAAATGTAAAGCTTACAGGAAAAAAGTAACATTCAGCAACCCTATTACTGTGTTGATACTCTAAAGATGAGCTGGAAATACTGAAAGTATTAGAGTTAAACTGAATTTAAAAAAAAATTTTTATTGCTTTTCAAAAGCAGATTTATTTCCAAATTTATAGAAACGAAGTTGTGTGGATATTATTGTTATACAATGGAACCTCATTTAACAAGCATAATTCATTCCAGAATCATACTCATAATGTGAAACACTTGTTAAGCGAAACAATTTTTTCCATAGAAATTAATGTAAAATACAATGATGCATTCTACGCTGAAAAAAATACTCAAATATTTTATGTATAACGTTTATTCAAAGAAAATAGTACAATGTGCATTGTTAAGGAGTGTGAATCATCATCATTTCTTCTAGTGCAGAATGAACCAACCTGAAATGAGAATTTGATTTGTAGAAAATAAAAAAAATCACAGATAATATATTTGATAAATACTCCAAATGATATGCCAAATTCTTGGGCTATGTAAAGGCTATAATTAAATAATAGAATCTGCTTTCTAGACAATCAGATGGCTCTATTAAGGCACATGATTCTGACTTTTTTATGGAGAGAATTGTTGCCTGGTGGGAGGCATATTCGGAAAATTGTCATCGGTAAAAGTCCATTCTTCTTACACTCCGTTAGAAACTGTAGTTTTGCTCTAGTCTTAACCAGGGCTATCAGCTTCTTACGATATAAATTAGCCAGCATAGCTAAATCTTTAAATATAGGAACTGAGAGAAGAACAGTTCCTATATTTAAAGATTTAGCTATGCTGGCTAATTTATATCGTAAGAAGCTGATAGCCCTGGTTAAGACTAGAGCAAAACTACAGTTTCTAACGGAGTGTAAGAAGAATGGACTTTTACCGATGACAATTTTCCGAATATGCCTCCCACCAGGCAACGATTCTCTCCATAAAAAAGTCAGAATCATGTGCCTTAATAAATAATAGAAATTAATTAGACTAGAGGTAAGCATAACTGCTTATCTCTAGTCAAACAGTTAATTTTTTAATTCAGACATTTCTAAAATTTAATTTGGAATTGGTCATTAATTAATTTAAATTTAATATGAGATGGCAACATAACTGCCTACCTTTAGTCAAATTAATTAATTTCTAATATTTAATTATAGCATTTACGTAGTCCAAGAATTTGGCACATTGTTTGGCTTGTTTATTATATAATGGGCTATGGTTGTTGATATTTAAAAGTAATATGTGTGAACACAAGTTTGGAAAAATATGTGATCACAAGCGACACTAAGATGCTAACAGAACGAATGCTAAACACAGACTGATGGAGTATGCGCACAATTTGGGACTTCCCTCGCCTCGTCACTTGTTATGCTTAACATAGCTCATTAAGTGAGGCAATTTTTTACAATTTGTTTTGCTTGTTATGCGAGGTTCCACTGTATGTTTAATTAATAATAATTGATTTTAAAAAAAGATGAGAACAAAAACATTTTGTCATTTGGTAGCCATTTTGTATTTTTACATCTAGTATGTTAAGCAATTTTGTTTTATTTCACTTATAATTATATGTTTTTGACAATAGATTGACTGTTAAACTTTACGTTGATAAGGTCATAAAATCCCTCTTAATTCATTGGGAAATACTATGGCAATTCTGTCACTCATTCTCTTCTAAAATTAGAGCTGTCTTTATAAACTTTCAGTCTATAATAGATTACTGTTTACCAATTAGGTCTATTGCTGCTTTCTCCTTACTTAACAAAGTTAATAAAGAAATTATCAAAGTTTACTTTTTATGAAACAAATTTAGTAATCTGCCTGTTACTCATAACCTCAACATTGCTAGAGTCTGACTTGGCCTTTTCCCTTTAAATGAAAGAATTAAATACTTGTCACTTCACATTTTCTACTACAGTGGAGCGTTGTTTATCCTAATCAATTGGGGGCTGGGGTTATTTGGATAACTTAGTTTTAGGATAACCGATTATGTATGAAAAAATATATTAACCTATCCCATGTTGAAATTTTACTCCATTGCATGTTACATTGCATTGAATTTTCGTTGATGTTAAGCCTAATGTAAATTTTTTAAAATAATAATAATTTAATAAAATAATAAACGATATAATTATTTTTTTAAAATAATTGTACCATTTATTATTTTATTAAATTATTATTATTTTAAAAAATTGCTAGTAAAATAAAGAAGAGGCAAAATAAAGAAACAATTTTTAACAATAATGATACAATTATTTTTAAAAAATAATTGTATTGTTACTGTTAAAAATTATTTCTTTATTTTTACAAACAAAATAAATATATTGAAAAATATAAAAACAAAAAAAATTATATTTTGGAATTTAATCTAGTATCAAAAACGTTTGATTCAGCACAACACAGTCCAATGGAATGCTTTCGGTTAACTGTTCCGGTTAACTGAACGGTTCCGGTTAATCGGCTTTCAGATAAACAACGCTCTACTGTATATATATAATAAATTAAATAAATAAATAAATGTACAGTGATCTACTAACAGAAAGAAATGGAGTGTTTGAGATTATATCATAATTGCAAACTGCTAAATTGCATACTAGATTGAAACTTTATTTATATTATCTTCATTGTATAAAGTTCAACTTATAGGATTTAATATTTTATAGGATCCTTTTGGTGGCATAGTTGTTGAAGAAGAAAAGCCAAAATTTAATCCTGAAGAAAGTAAGAATGTATCTGAAGGTAAGATCTAAAAGCACTGCAGTAACTTTAATTTATCCTAATTATAAAATAGAATTTCCAGAATAAAATCTTTTATTAAAGCCAAATTGCCAAATTAAATTAGGCTATATTACTATTATTACTATTATTAATTAAATGCTAAGTCATTTGGCATTAGATGTATGTGTTTAGCTCCATCTCTCACTAAATTTAATAATTATAATTAAATTAAAATTTTAATAATTAATTTAGAAGGTTCTGGAAGAAAATAATCAGCTCAAAGCTGGACTCAAACCCATAACTCCCACTTACTTTGCTGTTATGTTGCCAGTTACACTAACAGGACTTTCATTGATCTTTGCTTCTATAACTTATTAATTTAGATATACCATACTCAGTTACTTGCGCAGTTGTGGGTTTGAGTCCCACTTCAGGCCAATTTTTTTCTTCCAGAATCTTCTAAATTAATTATTAAAATATTAAATTTAGCAAGAGATGGTACCTAATACCTGCCTCTAGTATCAAATTATTTAGCATTTTATTAGTAATAATAGTAGTAACACAGCATAATATAAGGGTTACTCTGAAAATTTTGCAATACAAGAAAACCATCTGTGATGAATTGAAGTGTTTATTTTTTTTAATAATGAACTTCATATGACACATTATGCATAAACAAATTTCATAAATCTCTTTTAATCGAAATGAGACAGACTCCCTTTCTAATAGTAGTAATGGAACTTTCTAGAGAAGCATTTTGTACAATGATTTACTACAATTTTTGTGATAGACTATTGACAAAGACTGTTATAAACGATTGAAATTGGCTTTTGGGGTTGATGCTCTATCCCTTACTGTTGTGTTCAGATGGTATAAAAAATTTCAGCGATGTCATACTTTTTCGTAATGAACAGCAGTGACTCCTAAAAATGCAGAAAACCAAAAATGTACCTATGAAATTATAATGGTGAGACTATAGATTGGACCCTCTGCAGTTGCAGACATTCTTCATAAGAAGTTACGGTTAAAAGAAGTTACGGTTATTGAGACACTAAAAGAAAGTAGTGTCTCAATGAGTTGAAAGATTTTGAAAATTCAGAGCATGTCAGAATCTCTAACTGGAAATTATGAACCAAGGTGGACACTAGATTATTTCCAAGATTGTCACAGGCGATGAGACCATACCATTTTATGACTGTCTCACATGTCAAGAAAATCTGGTATGGATCCATAGATGATCCGGTTCCAACAACTGTGAAAAGGCAAAGAGCAATAAAACAAGTTATGTTTGCTGTTTTTTTCAGTAGCACTGGTCTGGCAAAAACAATTAAGCTTGAACAGAAGACAGTAATAGCTAATTTGTACACTACAGTTTGTCTTCCTAGAATTCTGGAGTCTGAAAATTTGAGGTCAAATTTTGCATCATGATAATCCTTCATCACACACTAACAAGAAAGATGTTGATTTCCTTCAAACTATTAATATAAGAATCATTCAACATTCACCATATTTACCAGATTTGGCATTGTGTGACTATGGCTATTTTTTACTTTCAAAAAACATTTGAAGAGTTGTAAATTTAACATAGAGGATGAAATTGAAGCTTCCTTAACAAAGTATTTTGATAGCATTCCAGAAAATGAGTGGTATTCTGCTTTTAATATTTGAAAGGAGCAACTACATAAGTGCATTTTGGCCAGAGGAGAGAGTACTTTGAACATAAATAAAAAATATTTGTTTCAGGCCTTTATAGTATTCCTGTATTGCAAAACTTTCAGAGTCACCTCCAATATAATTCAGCAATCATTTGGCTTTAATATATAACTATTGGATTTGGATGTTTATATTTGTAAAATTTTTATTATTATTAACTTTTATGCAGTTGCAGAAAAACCTCATGTAAAAGAAAAAAAAGTGGATGATTTTAAAGCTAAACAAAACCTGATTGCTCGTGATTTGGGAGGATTGTTTCAATCTGAGGATGATGATGATTTATTTTCTCCAAAGAAAATTTTAGAAAAACAAAGAAAGAGTAAGATTATGCTTAAAATTTGTGTTCTTATTTTTAAGATAGTTTCATTTCAAGTATAATAAATTATTATTTTTCGTATAAAATGAAAACAAAATTATTAGTAATGTTGATAGAAAAAGAATACTTAAATTTTTTTTTCTTTTTGAAAAATTGTACAAGATGTTTTATGTAAAACATTTAGTGAACAAGTTAGTCTTGCTTTTAATTCACTTTGTCTGCTATTATCTGATGACAATCATACAATATTGCTGGATTTTTTTATTCAAGTTTTAATATGGCTAATTACTTATAAAGGTATTATGTAATTTGGACTAAAGGTAGATGGTTAATCTGCCATTTGTTAGATTTATTAATTAGAAATGTATAAAATTTAGAATTATTCTGGAACAAAGGATCAATCTAGAGCAGGACTTGAACATAAAATGTTTGCTTTCTGTGCAGATGCATTTCCAATTCAGCTACCTAGACATCCATTTAACCTTTGCTTCCAGACCAATTAATTTAGAAGATATAAGGTCACCCATTTTGCTGAGTGGAGACATGTGCCTATGGCACTCAGCCAACTTAAGCTTTTCTCTTGTCAAGATATATATATTAAAAACGGTGCCACATTAAGCCTCTAGTGGGCCCTAGACAAAATTTAAATTGGGACTCTATTTGAATAAGTTACTTCTAAAGAAATCTTAAATAATGTCACTTAAAATTTTTATTAATAATAGAGAATACAAATATTAATACAATAATTATTATATAATATGAGTTTATGGTATAATAAAATATACAGTAGAGCATCGATTATCCGACTCAACTGGGGACTCAGGTTGGTCGGATAACTGAAAAAATCGGATAACCAAAAAGAAGCAAAAAAATACATTATTAGTATAATATATTAGAATATTAGTATATCCCATGTAATTAGTTTATTAGTATATTGCTATTAACCAACTTCGCATTGAATTTTCATCGATGTTTAGCCTAACAAATTTTTTTTAATAATAATCGTCGCTATTATATCATTAAAAATTATTTTTAAATTATTTTATTGCTCACAAAACAAACAACCACTCATAATTAGAAAATTAAGTCTCGTTTAAATACTGGCCTCCCTTCAATGGTCGAGCTGTTGATGCCAGCTAAAACATGCAAAAATTTAACAAAAATAATATTAAAGTAGCCAAGACATAGCCAAATATTGTAATGCCACATCACTAGCGGACATTTGAA